CGGTTCAGTTAAAAGATGGGACGTAGTCTCGCTCAGTGCTGTTTTCAGGTTCTGAGATAGTTTCCACTTTTTTTCTTCCCCACAGCCAACACCAGGGAAGCGGACCGCGGGTCAGGTAATGGAAGCAACAGACCTCGAGATCGGTGCCAAAAATGTAACCACCCAATCGGCTCCAAAGGAAAATATTCATTAAAGTGACACATGTTCCTATTATCGAACTCAAAACACTTGTTTGGACATCAGAGGTCGGAAAGCGCCGCATCCTGATTAGCTGGGATATTCTCACTTCTTTTAGATCTTCCTTCCTCGTTTTTATGGCGAGTCAACTTTCAGAGAAATTCTTTCCCACTACCGTCTGCTGATCACATCCCGAAAGCATTCAAAAATCTCCCTTGTTTCCTATAAGGAGAAATGGGAAGCACGACCACAAATATTTGTGTAAATGTCACCGCGTATTATTGGAAGCTTTGTTCAGTCGGTTAGAGAATTATTGTGGCCAGGAGACCAGCTGGACCCCACTCAGACGCTTCCTACACGGATCACGCACGCCCAGACACACTCACACACTCACTCGCTCTGTCTCCGTTTTTCAAAAGTGAGAGTGATGGTCCCTTTCTTCTACCTTCTATGTGTAGTCTTCAGATAGAAGGGACATGTTCGTTACGAGTGATTTCAAGCCGAAAGGAAGCGGAAAGACAGAGAGAGAGCTGGCCTCTTCCACAGACAGCAGACAACAAAACACAAAGCGAGACAAAGCACCTTCGAGGGAGGCCAGTCCAGCATCCCAGCTCGTCATTCACCAAGGAGGAAGAAGGAAGCGAGGCAGCTGCGTTCGCTTTAACTCTTTCCTGGAATGCTCTGAAGCCGATGCCCAGAGTTTCATTCTTATGGAATTAGATCATAAACGGGACCAAGCTCGCTGTTCAGTCATTTGTCACCAAACAGCAAGAATGCAGTGTCCTAACATGGAAGGAATGTCATGCCCCAAACATTTATTTCTGGCCGTGTCTTTCCCAGCCTTGAGATCAAAACTTCAGCTGCTAGATAAGCAGAGGTCAGGGACCCCTCTCCTGCGTACTCCTCACCTCCCCTGAGAGACAGCGCTCTGCTGCCCAGACCTGATGGTTCATCTTCTCCATGTTTTAGCCCGGCAGAGACTGCAGTGATCTTTGACCTCGGTTATGTTTATACGAAAAGCCTCCCTCGCATTTTCTCACACCCATTCATCCCTCCGGTAGGACCTGGATGCCTCTCTCCATCTTTGTCTTGCTGGTGTTTCTAGGAAAACCACTTCGGACTTTCTGAACTGAATCAATATTGGTCATTTCTCTGGGTTTGTCACTCGTTCAGACCTGTTTCTGTATGAGGTGTGTGTGTATCAGGAGAGTATGTGGGAGGCGAGACATAGCCAGGTGCTAGACTGAATTATCTTTGAGTGACACCACAAAACGCTGGAAATGGCCTCCTTTTCTAAGATCTGTACACGAGGGGTGATTCGCTACAAGAAAATAAACACTTTTTTGCTCAATAGTTAAAGCTTTGGTCCCCGCATCGTCTGTTCTGTCTCAATAGAACTGTACTTAAACAGAGAAAAATCTAGATTGGCCATTTCTCCATATCCTTCTGTCTTTTAATGCTGCATCTGTCCTTCCGTGCTCTGGATTAGCGTTGCCCACGTGGTTACATAGCATGAATTCAGGCATTTATTCGATATCAGATTTTCCCAACTTAAAAATAAATAAATAAATAGATAAATAAAAGCAAAATTCTTGATGATGGAAAGGAATGCATTGGCCACAATGAATGACAATTATACTCAAACCAAGGATTAATATTCCGATTTCTATTCAGACCTTAGTTCTGTGCATTGCTTTGTCGCGAGCTGCTGTGCAGATGTGTCACTTAACATGAGAGCCGTGGTACCCCAAAATATAGAAATGCTATTGAAAAAAGGTGGATATGGGCTCTGGGATGAGACTATCTAAGGTCAAATCGCAGCTACGCCTCTTATTAATGGTGTAACTTCGGAAAAGTTACTAAACTCTCTAAACATCAGCTTCTGAAAAGCAAGGAATAGTAAGGACAATCAGTATAGGACCTCACCTCCTAGGGTGATCCGGAGGCGTAAATGAAATATTTCACATAAAGCTCTTAGCTCAGTACCTGGCACAAGAGGGAAGGTGTATAAATGCTAATTATTATTATTTCTACTGCTATAGCAAATCCTATTTTAAGGACCTGTAAGATCTTATCAGCTCATTCATTTCTAACCTTAAAAAGAATCATTTTTTGAAGGAAAAATTCTTTTACAAAGTGGAAAATTATGCCTTAATTAATTGTGGTACACATATGGAATTTTTTTTTTTGCCCCAAAGAAAATTACATCAATTTCATTAATAAGCTTTACCAAAGATGTTTACACATATAGACATATATATGTGTTTGTATTATATACATAACATGAGTATTATGTGTGTATATATATATATTTTTTTTCTTTCTTTCTTTCTCTTGAATCAAATATCAGAGCACCACAAATTGGAGGATCCATTGAAGACACACCAATGTTTTCTTCTCTAAAGATCCCAAGAGGGAAAAATTGCTGGATAATCAACAACTTCCCGTACTGCAACGCTCGAGGGTTATTTCAGAAGACAAAGGTTAGTGACTTATATGTGTCCTCAGGGTTACTCCATCTATGGTCACAGCCTGTATCTGCCCCAACAGATGCCATCACCATGAGCACGGCCTCCTGAGGGCACCATGGACTGTGGGGGTTCCAGCCTCCCCTAAATGCTCAGGGTACAAAAGTTACCACGTGCGTTCACTTGAACTAATTCACACTGACCAGGACTTCTTCCTTACTGAGTAGCAGTCCTTCAAAGGACTGAATGCGATTCTCTCTCTCTCTCTCTCTCTCTCTCTCTCTCTCGCTCTCGCTCTCGCTCTCGCTCTCCCTCCTTCTCTCTAATAAGCTTAAAAAAAACTTAAAGTGCTTTTAAAGCTCCTGCTTTCTGTCTCCAAACATCTTAACGCCTTTCATTTCTTCATTCCACTCTATTCTAATCAACTCCTATCAAATTGTGTTCTCAGGAAGGAATTTTCTCTTTTCAAAAAAATAAATAAATAAATGGAGAAACAGAAGCCATAGATGGAACAATATAATATTCCATCTAATACACGTTTACCTCTTCAGCCAGGATAACAGCCCAGTCACTCTGGTTGACAAACGTGCTGCCCTGTTGGGGTTTTCTTTTTATTTTGTTAGTTTGTTGTTTAATACCTGCAAAAACACGGATACCTTTATGCCTCTTCTTTGTCTTCTTACCTACCTTGCAATTTTTCTAATTTACCCGTGTCTAAATTTTACCATTCAGTTCACACTGTCCTGTCAAAATGTTTTCCTTGGAAAAAAAATGCTCAAGATGAGATAGATGATAGACAGACAGACAGATGATGGATAGATAGATGGTAGATGACAGATGATAGATAGATAGATAGATAGATAGATAGATAGATAGATAGATAGCTAATAGATAGATAGAATAGATAGATAGATAGATAGATAGATAGATAGATAGATAGCAGATAGATAGATGATAGATGATGATAGATAGATAGATAGATAGATAGATAGATAGATAGATAGTTGATAGATAATAGATGAGAACCAGTTTCAGTTGACACATATTATACATTCAAGGCCTCGTAGATCATGCGTCATCAGTGAGTAGATATTTTGTTCTGAAACTACTGTCACTGCCTTTATGTGGGACAATGGGACGATAGCAGTTGTTCTCCGTCTTCCAATTCAGGACCTGCTTGAGCCTCAGCGTGGAGAGAAGAGAATGGGAGAGGAATGGAAGGGAAGGAGAACGGGAGGCGGAGAGGAGGAGAGGCAGCTCTCTCGTCCACGTTAACAAGCAAAATGAAAAATTCGAAGAGAATCGAAGCCCTACTGAGCTCTAATTTCAAATTCCGTAGAAACAGTTCCCACGCGCACCCAAAATCATCCACTTTGACTCGATTACTGAGCACACTCAACCATTGCCTTATCGGGCCAATATTGGTGAAAATCGAGACCGCTCCATCCGCAGCATCAATGTGTGCATTGTTTAAACAAATCGCTCTCACCCACTGGGTTCAGTAGCCTTCCCAGTTTCTTTGGTTTTTCTTTCCAATGGATGTTAGCATCCCGTCTTGGAAATAAATGAAAGCACTCAGGTCTTGTTATTGGGGCGCTTAGCAACAGCCTCCCCTAGGTGGTCTTCGGGTGGGAAAGTCTAAGGGAGGGCGAAGAGAGGCGAAACCTGCCGGACATTGTTTTAAACAGACCGGCTCCTGTTTCACAGGGCAGTTCTCCCCAGGGTGCTGGGCAGGGGAACAGCGAGGCAGAACAGGTGCCGGGGTTTCCCTGCTCACCATTCAGGGAAGTGTTTTTGCTTCGTGCCAGAAACTCTGAACTTGTCGTGGGCATGCTCGACTCCAGTAGGGAAGGCAGTGAGCTGGCAGTGCCCCCAGGGCAGGCTGAGGGACAGCAACCTGAGAAAAGGCTCAGAGAAACAAGATCGTCTTGTCTGGAGAACATAATGGCTATTCAGCCGGCGAGCGGCCCTCAGCCAGCCTCACGGGTTTGGAGGCATGTCTCCAAGTGGATTATGTCAGAGAGATGGAGATGGAAATTGATATTCATCAATCATGATATACCAGGCAATCGACAGCTCCACGGGGGCTTCGTTCACAGAGGAGCAGCTCGCAACGCAGGCTCTTTTTCTCTAAATGACGTGCGAAGATCTCACTGCAGAAAAGCACAGAGAGAAGTTTTCACGGCCCCCTCCCCCTTTTGTATTTGCTCTTTGAGAGAAATCTGTCACTTCGTAAAAATGATGAAAAGTAATATGATGGCACAAAGAAAAGTGGGAGCCCCCACAGGATGGGAATCAAGAGGTCTGGGGTCTTGTCCCATCCTCAGAAGACACATGACCAAAGCTCAACAGGTCTCAGTTTTCGCATCTATGAAATATCAGAACTTGTCCCCAAGTCTCTGCCATCGTGAGAGTCTGTGACTCACGAGACTTTATTATCGGATATCGGCACCATTCTGCAGTGGAGCCGTGATGGGGGTTCAGGGTCTGGGGGGTCCGTCTCCATCTGCGACAACAGTCAATGCACCAACACGAACAGCAATGGAAACGAAATTAACTTCTGTTGCTTAAAAGCTGTTAGTCTGACTGAATCGTTCATGTTTTAATACAAGGATAGCCTGAGAGGAAAACTTAAGAATACTAGATATGCAAATTGAACAGAAAGCAGTAAACAAATAAAACTCATAATAATGCTAATACTACTACTACTAATAATAATAAGCAAAGCATTAGCGAACTGTGGATGATGGGAGGAGTGGCAAGATAGCTGGCATTCGATGACTTATTGGAATGTGGAGAGAAGATATAAACCAACTAACCCAAAATTCAAGAGCATGAACCAGCAGAGGAGGAAAAGTGCTTAGCTGTTTGCTCTGTGTGCTTTGCGATCAGTTAAACACACATCCTTCCGCTTAGCAGTGTGTCTCTCAAGTACTTTCTCACCGCACAATAGCGCTTATGAGTGTCGCAACTCCCCTATGCGGTTAGTGTTGGTGTTATCTCCACTTCACAGTTGATAAAACTGAGGCTCAGAGAGGACAAGTGACTTAACCAAAGCCACAGCTGGTCGGGCGGGTGTGGATTTGAACCCGGGACACATGTCTCCAGAGCTACACTCTGACCTGTTATGTTATAATGTGTATAAACCGGGGGTCGGCAAACATTTCCTAGAAAGGCCAGATCGTGAACATTGTCATCTTTGCAGACCACGCACCGTCCCTGTGTCTATTACTCCACTGCTGCAATGCGGTCTTTTTCATTGTCGCTCGGACCCATGCGTTTCGTTTATTTATTCAGCAACTATGTTGAGTCCACGCTCAGGGCTAAGCATTTTTTAGACACCGAAGATACATGAGCGAACTCGACGATATCCACACTCGTGGAGCTTCATTCTAATGGGACACACAGAAGACATTAAACAGACAATAGAGATGTGCTAATGATCTAATAGGATGTCAGGTGGTGATAAGTAAAATGAAGAAAAGCAAAGCAGGACAAGAAACTAAAGATGGACAGTGGCTGCTTCTGCAGAGCGTGTGGCCAGGGAAACTCCTGACAGGGAGCTTTGAGTAGACATGGTCCTCGGCGTCCGGAAGCTGAGATCACCTGGACAGCAGGTACGATTAGAAGAGAGAAGAGTCTGATCTCGGAAGCTAAGCAGGGTCGGGCCTGGTTAGTACTTGGATGGGAGACCACCTCGGAAGACCAGGTGCTGTAGGAGTAAAAATTAAAAATAAGGGATTGTAAGCTGACAAGGTCCTGGCAATCTGTGAGGTCAACCAAGGGTTGCCTCGCCTAAAAAAATAAAAACTAAAAAGAAGAAGAAGAAGAAGAAGAGTGAAGAGCCCACGGATGGGCCCTGGAGTCCTCCAATGCTGGGAGCTCAGAGGTGAAGGATTCGGTGCTTTCTGAGAAGGGGCGGCGAGGGCGAGGGCATGAGACCGTCATGGCAAGGAGCCGAGTTGAGGGAAGTGTTTCGGGAAGGATCGGGGAAGCCGGCTGCGCCAAGGGCTGCTGACGTTCGCCCGGAAGAGGCCTGAGAGGGGCTCATCGGTCTGGGCCGTACCGTGACCTTGGCGAGTTGGGCAGGAGCGTTCCCAGGAGCGGGAAGGAAAGCCCTACTGGACGGGATGCAAGAGCAGGGGAAGGGATACAAGGAAGACCGAGTGTGGAAAATTCCAGAAGCTTTGCTATCTGTAAATGAAGCCTTTAATAACCGCTTAAGCGTTTGCAACGCAGAGCTGAAGAGAGAGCTGGAGTATTTTTTATTGTGCCCTTTATTTATTTTCTGGTCTTTTCTTTTTTTCTTTCTTTTCTTTTTTTAGTGGCAGATCGATACTCACTGAGCGACCACTCTGTCATCAGACCACATTGACTCGGCACACATTCACTGAGGTGAGCTAGCCCAGTGTCCCCAGTGCTGGCTATAGAGTGAAAGAGCCGCCAGACATCCGTGAGCTCACCGGCTGGAGGCTGCAGTCCTGACAACGCGTGGGGTTGTTTTAATAACAGCTCGCTTCTCCATCATCGCCCTCCTTAACGTCCCTCACACTCATCTTTGAATCATCCAGCTCAAGTCACCGTCTGAATCCTGCTTGGTTTAACTTTGGAAATACCCATGCCATGCTCCTGAGCAAATGAACAGACCGACGGCTGTCGCATTGTGACCTAACCCTCACTGGGACAAGCTCCCCTGTTTTCTCAGCCTTTATACAAAGGTAATGACAACTGCACCGTGCTCTCAGAAAGACTTCTGTTCCTGGTCCTGATCGCTGCAGGGGACTTCATCAAGTCAGGATCTCTGCAAACTGCAGTGTCCTTGAATATAAAATAAGATCATTGGAGCCGATAGTCTTAAGATCCTTTCTAACCTCCAACGACTGTGATTATTTAATACTAAAGAAATGTTCATTACTCAGCCAGAAGGAATCTCTGGCACCTCAAAGTATATTTTGAAGGAAGTGTAGTTTAGGAGTGAAATTTGACCTTTGAAGTGCCCGAGGACATGCTTTCAGATGCAAAGACCCACTTCGACACAAGTGACAGAAAATCGTGAGCTCTTGAAGGCTGCACCTAAATAAAAAGGAATCTACTTTTGCTGAGCATCACGACCCATTTTCCCAACCCGGATACAAACAAGGATTTAAATCTAGGCAGAGACTTACTGGTCTTTTTTTTTTTTTTTTAAATCTGATCTTCCTGTCCTGGGAGAGTCCAAGGCAGCGAGTTAGAACAAATGAACCCAAATTCTGAGCATGAAGATGTGCCGCCTGGTCCCTGCTCTAATGGTTATGGCTGATGATGTTAGGAACCTCCCTGGCCCTTTTTTCTTATCCATAAAATTAAGAGGTCAAAGCCAGAGATTGCAAGAATCCCACAGTTTTATCATGACAGACATGGTTTTAGAAATCGATAACATAAGCATGGTTATATAACTCGGAAAATAGCCTAATTTTTCAGAAGTCCAGTACAATATCAACTGAGGCACAATAATAGATACTCAGTTATCCCCAAACCTGTCATTTCTGATTTTAGCCTAAATTTCACAGTTTCCAGTACTCAAAGAAAGCCATGAGGTACAGATCAATTCACGTGATAATTAAGCACCTATGCATGAGCGGAATTTACTAGAAACTATCGGAGACGTGTAACTATATCACGGATCCTGTCCTCAGGAAACGAAACTTCTTCTGATGTCTACCTTTCCTCATTTTTCATAATTTTTACAATGAGTTTATAATAATTTCATAATTAGCGAGAAATAATATTTTCAAAGAGGTTCAGGTCAGAGGCGATGGCGACTTAAACTCTAGTGTCAGCAATGGGAATGGAAAGCAGGAACTCGGTGACATAAAGTGGAAGCATTGCTTTTGAAGTCCAAAGATACTTCAGCGTCCTTCTCCAGTTGACCAATAACATCTGTCTGCTCTGGCAGCAAACATTTCAAACTCTGTATGTGAAGGGGCTACGTAGAGTGGTGTTTAAGAGCGTTTATTGGCTCTGGAGTCAGAGAGCTGGGGTTTGAATTCTGTTCTGCCACCGACTAGCTTGGCGACCTTGAGCGAGTCTCTTGCTCAAGCCTCAGTTTCCTCATCCTTAAAATGAGATTAATAATACCAAGTTCATAGTATCAGTAATTCCAAGACTGTTGAAAAAACTCAATAGAGCACTACATCGACCCTTCAGGGGACTGCTTTCACACACACGGCGAGGACTCCGTAAGGCCGACTGCTGTCTTTGTGGTTGTTACTTGTCTCGTTCACCCTTTAAGCAAAGATCAAGAGGAAATGGGAGCTAATAAATTGGGTTTCTTAGCCTCTGGATCATTGTAGATGGACAGGAAGCACCATTCAAATGGAACAGTAAGAACCACTAACGGCCAGAGTTACATTCAGAGACACAATCAGTGGCTGAAACGCCAGCCCCAGCCCAGGTATCCTGTTCTTGGTTGGTGTCAGGACTGGACATCAGCTCTCTAACACCTCCTGGAACGTGGTGACCGTGCTGCTACCCACCTTGCCAACCCATCCTCCTCCGTTACAGACTAAACGTGATTTCTGACTGTGTGTGGATGACACTGACCGGAGGCCCTTGGGCCCTGTTCTTCCTCAGCCTCATCCCACAAAGTATTCCATGGACAGATGGATGGTCACCATGATATGCTAGGGCCACATCATTGTCTTAGGGAAATTCTACAAGATGCCAAAAGGAAGCATAATTTCTTCCTCTTGGGACCGTCTTGCGTGACAATGTGTGCTTTAGGAATTAAAATAGAAGCTTTGTTTATTGCAAACTAAAAACTGGCCAAAAGGAAGTAGTTCCTTTGTACTGTGACTTTCTGTGACTTCCTCTTGGGACCGTCTCGCGTGACAATGTGTGCTTTAGGAATTAAAATAGAAGCTTTGTTTATTGCAAACTAAAAACTGGCCAAAAGGAAGTAGTTCCTTTGTACTGTGACTTTCTGTGACTTTTCTGCATCCTAAAATGTTCTTCATTATTCAAGACTACAAAACAAGAGGCGTTTCTGTCGTTAATGTGGAACAATTACGGAGCTCACATCCAAAATATATCGTTGACCATTTATACAAAAGAGCAAGTCATTACTTTTCCTCTTCTCTTTCAAATTCTTCTCTTCCATTATGCTATCCTTACTCCCTTGCTCTGCTCTCTCTCTCGCTCTCTCTCTCTCTCTCTCTCTCTCTCTCTCTCTCTCTCTCTCAATATATATATATTTCAGAGACAGGGAGACTGTCAAACGGGATCTGAAGTGATAAAATAAATCCATTTAAAAGACTTTAAATAAGATCCTGTATCTTCGTAGAAGCCTACGTAGGCAAATGTTTAGACTAATTATGTAACCGCATGGTTCAGTTCTGCTTCTCTGAGTCAGTAGGTAAAGAAACTTCTATGGAAAGAAACCAGAGCTGCCAGGGGTCCGGTAGCAGTTTGGCAGTTGAAGAGCCAGGAGCAGAATACCAGAGCCTCCCTCCTTCTATTTAATCATTTTTTCGCTCTGTCCCCTTCAGAGCGAAGATAACACCCAACCTTTCTTGGAAAGCACCACGATTTGTGGGGTTATATTTCTTTGGGAGTTGTGGAGACAACAACATCGCTAAAATTTGCAGCAAGGGGCAGACATACTGTCTATCCGCTTTGTGTCAGTGTTTTAGAAACGCCAAATAAAATACTCCTTTCTAGTTAGCAACTGGAGATGTTGACCAAACAGTAGTTTCCCAGCCACCCTAAAAACTGATGTACCCAGATGACTTCAC